TATTCTACGTGATTGTGTCTCCGCCCCCCTCCCCCCCCGGAGCCGTGTGAGACACTTTTTTTAATGTATTGGCGCTTTTTATTTCACATATTTTGGACTGAAGCTCTGTAATACCAGCTGAGTGCAACGATAGAGCTTGAAAGATCAAAGACAATTTTTAATATAACTCCGACTGGATTCGTCTGAAAGAAGAAAGCCATATACACCTAGGATGCCTCGGGGGTGAGTGAAACACAGCCTAATTTAAATTTTTGGGTGAACTAACCCTTTAAGTAATTTGACTTAGGGGTATCCCTGAGGGGGGCAAAATCCCTGAGGTAAGGGATTTCTTTAGGAGCGCTGCAACAAACGTCTTAACTGTCACCCTTACCCAAGTGTTTATACTAAGCGTTTCACGGTTACTATAGTTACTACATCTCACAATAAACAGATATATATACATATCTATGACAATAAACAGAACATAATGAAATATAAACCTAACCAACTGAAACACAGACAAACATTAAATAAACATGAGCGCTGCCGTTTCTGTGCTGCTTTGTGTACAGTCGTTACCGAGGAAACCGCTTCGTTTCTGCTGACCAATGACGGAAAATTGACCAAATGTGAAAATGAACCCATGTTTTGACGTTGCAAACACGCAGAGTTGTAAATGTGAACAGGTGGATCGACAAGATAATGCATTATAAAAATCTAAACAATTAAGACGAATTATATTTATAGTTTGTCATTTCTCCGATCACAAATGCAGACATGATTTTATGTTTTTATGTGGTAAAAAGACAGTATAAGTCATTATAATCCGTAATCATGTCCCCACTGGATGCAACGAATGCCTGGTTTATAATGGGTTTTAATGTTTTTGTCTCGTCGCTCCGGCCGGACAGGGCAGCACAGTATGGTGAGGGGCGTAACATTTCCGTCACACGCTTGAGGTATTCAGCCAATCACAACGCACTGGATAGCTGGCCAATCACAGCACACCTCGCTTTTCAGACCGATGAGCTTTGTAAAAATCGCTGTGTTTCAGAAAGGCGGGGCATAGAGGAGAAACAATAATGTACAGTATGTGGAAAATAATGGGTTTTTTTAACCTTAAACCGCATAAACACATTTCATTACACCAACTACACAACATAATGTTCTTTTTAGCAGCATCATATGACCCCTTTAAGGTTCCTTAAGTTGACCCTAAGGATTTTTTCTTGCAACCCAAGTTTCACTAAGGGCTTCCTTAACCTTATAACTAAGGGATTTATTAGCATAAGGGCTTTCATGCAACCGGGCCCAGACCATCAGACAGCTGCGTCGCTCCGTCTGAACATGAACGACTGAACACAAACACCAGCCAACACTGAGCCATCAAAACAAAACAGACTCCATTTGATCTGATCAGGAACAATCATCTGGTGACGGCTTCTTGCTTCAGTGATTTTAGTTGTTATAGTCTACAAACACAGAACGCTCTGCTATATGACTGCCAGAATCCTGAACTGTGGGAAAAGAAGACGAGACCATCTCTGAACAATTACAGCTCGCTATTTAGCCACGGCTTGAAATAGTTGATGGCACAACAGCAGAGCGTATGGAAATTCATAGACTCGTGTGCGTCTCTCCTGAGCCTCTGTGGCGAAACTGATCAGAAAGAGGAAATGAAAACATCAGAGCATGTGAATAATATTAAATTTAGCCCGATTTAATCGTGTGTGTGTGTGTGTGTGATTGACAGTCACTGCTCTCTTGGGTTTTTCCTGAGGAGTTAATGATGTGTTTCCATTAAAGCTGCAGACTGAAACTAGTTATTCCAACAGGAGACGGCCATTTGATTTAAAAAATGAGCCCATAAATACAAACGTCTGGAGCCGCTGGGATTCGTTCAGATCCGCTACACACTTCAGCAGTTCTTCTCTCATCACCTCGAGTTCTTCTGCGGTTCAGGAACGATAGAACCTGTCCTCGTTAACAAGCGGAGCAGGTTTCCGTGCGCTCTGATGTGTGAACGCCATTTGATCCGAACGAGTCATTTCACAAGCTCATCTGATTCAGTGCTGCATGTTATAATGAAGACAAGCTGATGCTGGAGCAGCTTTGATTCTGAAATCAGACGTGGATCTAAAGGTGATCTCGAGTTCACAGCTGTTTGTCATTCATCTCCACTTGTTCATGTCTGTGCGTGTCGAAATGAAGTAATCCTGGACTTACACACGCAGCTATAAACACAGTCTGCAGAGAGGAAGGACAAGATATGAATTTAAGGGAAATAAGCTGCAATCCTCATGAAAGCATTCAATTAATGCAAGTATGAAATCCCATCCTACTATTGTTCTTAAACAGAAAGAGGGTCAGACTTTTCTTAAGTTTCTGATCACAAGAAAATGACAAGCAGTCCCTCGGAGGCACACTGACGCAGACGAGAGCAGAGCGAGTTATCAGGCGGCGTTCAGTGCTGTTATCTGCAGAAGAACACAGCTGCTCGTGGAGATACAGAAGTAACTGCACAAACTCCAGAAACACTTCTGAGCCGTTCCTGCTCTGGAAACAAAACAAACCGCCAGAAACAGCGGATCCAGCGCTGTGAATAATGGAGCTGAAGCCAGAAAACCCAGACTCACCTCCAGCGCATCCAGTGTGAACAGAAGCAGGTCGATCTGAAACCCTCCTGCATTCAGACTCTTACAGAACTGTAGCAGTGAGGAGTGCTGCTGCTGCTGCTGCTGCTGCTGCTGTGTGAGAGTTTGATGACACTTCAGTCAAACCACAGCCATGTGTGAAGCTGGAAACATTCAGCGGTCAGAGACTTGAGAAGAAGAGCTTCACAACGAATGCGAGAAACACACACACACAGAAACAGGCCACATGTGTGATGATGAGGGGAAACCCCTCCACATTCAAAGCGAAACAGAAATAGGATTTTCCTGTAAGTGGATCTAAAAGGACAAACACACGGACAGCAGCACAACACACGGCCGATCGAGCTCGAGCATCTGCGCGGCTGTCTTTGATGTCTCGCGTGTTATTAAAGTTACTCACTCCGCTGATTCTGTTGTCATGGAGACCGGAACCGAACCGCATCGCATCACCGGATCTCTGAACCCGCGTCAGCCGCTGTCAGACTCACACAGCCACGCCCACGGAGCGCGCTAGAAGCGGCAGAACAGCCGAACCTCGTCTGCGATCCGGATCCACACTCATCGCACGGACTTCTCCGCTGCCGCGCGCACGCACGAACGCAGCTGCGTCGGTGGGCGGGGCCTCCGCGTCATCGCATATTAACGACTTAAAGGGACATCGGTTGATCGGAAAATCACTATTGCTTTTATTTACACTAAAATTGTGTCAGTTCTATTTGTGACCCTGCAGCACAAAACCAGTCATAAGTAGCAGAGCTATATTTGTAGCAATAGCCAAAAATACATTGTATGTTTTGTTTCTGCCAAAAATCATTAGGATATTAAGTAAAGATCATGTTCCATGAAGATATTTTGTAAATCTCCTACCGTAAATATATCAAAACTTAATGTTTGATTAGTAATATGCATTGCTAAGAACTTCATTTGAACAACTTTAAAGATGATTTTCTCAATATTTAGATTTTTTTGCACCCTCAGATTCCATATTTTCAGATATTGTGTTATCCTAACAAACCATACATCACTGGAAAGATTATTATTCAGCTTTCAGATGATGCATACATCTCAATTTCAAGAAATTAACCCTTATGACTGGTTTTGTGCTCCAGGGTCACATTTATGACAAATAGTTTCAGTCATTAAAGCAGACCCTGCTCCTACTGTGTCTTAATTTAATAAGAATAAAACCCACCTACTTTATGCTGTAACTTATATATTTCATGCATATGAGGACAATAAACACACAGATGAATCTGTCCAACAGTTACAAAGACAGAGTAATAATGATAAAGAATAAGATAAATTTATAAGATTAAAAAAAAAAAAATTACTATATCAATGTTTACAATTTGACATCATTTTATGAAAAACAATTACACTGGTGAATCACATTAAACCAAAAACAAACAAAAAACCGTGCAATAATAACTGAATGTGCCGTGGTGATGATGAAACACTAAGTGTTCAGCGCTCGTCTCAGGTCGCTGTAGAAGTGGAGCAGACCGCTGGCCATAGCTGTGTCCACCGCCGGCTGCGGCAGCATGCCCCTCAGCTCCGTCTGGATGTATCCGGTCAGCACGCTGAGGTCCGAGTCCTGCGCCGGCACACAGAACCAGCCACACGGATGATTGAATCCTCGAACCAGGCCTGCTCTCTGCTCGTCATGCTCCACGCTCACACCTGAAGAACACCATGTGCTCCAGGGTCACATTTATGACAAATAGTTTCAGTCATTAAAGCAGACCCTGCTCCTACTGTGTCTTAATTTAATAAGAATAAAACCCACCTACTTTATGCTGTAACTTATATATTTCATGCATATGAGGACAATAAACACACAGATGAATCTGTCCAACAGTTACAAAGACAGAGTAATAATGATAAAGAATAAGAGAAATTTATAAGATTTAAAAAAAAAAAATTACTATATCAATGTTTACAATTTGACATCATTTTATGAAAAACAATTACACTGGTGAATCACATTAAACCAAAAACAAACAAAAACCGTGCAATAATAACTGAATGTGCCGTGGTGACGATGAAACACTAAGTGTTCAGCGCTCGTCTCAGGTCGCTGTAGAAGTGGAGCAGACCGCTGGCCATAGCTGTGTCCACCGCCGGCTGCGGCAGCATGCCCCTCAGCTCCGTCTGGATGTATCCGGTCAGCACGCTGAGGTCCGAGTCCTGCGCCGGCACACAGAACCAGCCACACGGATGATTGAATCCTCGAACCAGGCCTGCTCTCTGCTCGTCATGCTCCACGCTCACACCTGAAGAACACCAGCACACGCAACACGTGACAGACTGCACACGCAACACGCCAACCGTCCTAATCCGCCGTCTACACACAACGCACCAGACATGTGAAAATATGTTACCAGCGCTGCGGAGTAACTCGTCTGGATTACATCATCAGATTCCAACAATTAAGTACTTGTAATCAGACTAGTTACTTTTTATTGATTACATCATTACATATTAATCACACAATAGCAATACATTGTTCATAATTTATTGATTCGCTCCAATTCCTCTTTTAAATGTTCCTTTCTAAGTTATCCTACGCTTATATACATTCAGAAAGTCTTCAGTTTCACACAGAGAGCATTATTCAGATGACGATACAGCATCTGAGCTCTGGATTCACAGAAACACTTCTCAATATTTCAACACCGCATCAACTGCTGATGAACACGCTTTATTTGAGCTATGCTCCGGGAGTTATTTAACAGTGCTAATGCACACATTCATGTTATTTCTTTCTTCCATGTGATGCAGGGAACTGCTTTCAGCTTATATTTTTACCTGAGATTTCATATAAATATTGTAATTATTCAGAATCACGTGTTCACGGTCACAAGACATGCAGGTAAAGAAATAAAATGTTTGTTTTTTATATTTTGATTGATGTTATTTTAATTTGATATTTTTTATGATTTAATTATTACCTAAAATGTGTAATGTGATGATTACGTTACTGACTACAACGTTCGTCCAGTAATCAGTAACGGACTACAGTCTGTAAGTAAAGCTACGCAGCTGTGTGTGATCTGCTTGACTTTCCTGCGACGCTCCAATCATTAATTCAGCTGCGAGGTCACGTGGACTCATGCGATATCATGTCACAGGTCAGAGTTCAGCAAACGTGACCTTCGGACGCAGTGAGATTCACATGCGCTGCATTCACGTCTCCTGCATTCGCTGCTTATGAACTGAAGTCAAGTGTGACCGGCTCTTAACAAAGACAGAGTAATAATGATAAAGAATAAGAGAAATTTATAAGATTTAAAAAAAAAAAATTACTATATCAATGTTTACAATTTGACATCATTTTATGAAAAACAATTACACTGGTGAATCACATTAAACCAAAAACAAACAAAAACCGTGCAATAATAACTGAATGTGCCGTGGTGATGATGAAACACTAAGTGTTCAGCGCTCGTCTCAGGTCGCTGTAGAAGTGGAGCAGACCGCTGGCCATAGCTGTGTCCACCGCCGGCTGCGGCAGCATGCCCCTCAGCTCCGTCTGGATGTATCCGGTCAGCACGCTGAGGTCCGAGTCCTGCGCCGGCACACAGAACCAGCCACACGGATGATTGAATCCTCGAACCAGGCCTGCTCTCTGCTCGTCATGCTCCACGCTCACACCTGAAGAACACCAGCACACGCAACACGTGACAGACTGCACACGCAACACGCCAACCGTCCTAATCCGCCGTCTACACACAACGCACCAGACATGTGAAAATATGTTATCAGTGCTGCGGAGTAACTCGTCTGGATTACATCATCAGATTCCAACAATTAAGTACTTGTAATCAGACTAGTTACTTTTTATTGATTACATCATTACATATTAATCACACAATAGCAATACATTGTTCATAATTTATTGATTCGCTCCAATTCCTCACGTGGACTCACGTGGACTCATGCGATATCATGTCACAGGTCAGAGTTCAGCAAACGTGACCTTCGGACGCAGTGAGATTCACATGCGCTACATTCACGTCTCCTGCATTCGCTGCTTATGAACTGAAGTCAAGTGTGACCGGCTCTTAAGATTCTCTTTCTGAAATGACCGGCCCCAGATCCGCCAGCTCACAGCAGCAGATGAGAACCAGAGGTGTTGTGATCGGTCCTCCAGTGGCTTCACTCCAGCTAAACGGCTGATCTAGAAAACAAATGAGGTGTTTTGAGAGCCACTGACCGCAGGACAGCAGGCCACGCTGATACTCGCTGGTGCAGGAGAAATCCACAAACTCTCTCGGAGAGATGATGTTCCACAGCTGCCCTGCGGTGGTGTACCTCACAACACAACAGCCCTGAACAACACAGCAGTTATCATCATGTGCACATCATCACAGACGGAGAGGACTTTATACTCTTAACCCTAAACACACTTCAGCTCGGTCTAATCAGAGATTCTAGATCACTGTGCAGTCACATCAGCCATGTTCACCTGGTCCAGCGTCTGCAGGATCTCCAGAGAGGTGAGCATGCGGTCCCAGTGCAGTCTGCGGGCCCCGGGCCGGATGTGGTCCATGACCCGCTGCGGAGTCTCTGCTACGCTTCCTTCAGCTTTATATCTGCAGGGAGCACAATGAGAACACTGCCTTTAAGAACTAGTTTGACTTAATTGAATTAATCTCACTTCTCACATTCAAATTAGACCAACCTACTAGAATGTAAAAGTGATGACCAACCTTTAATAGAAAATGAGATGTCTAACTTTAAAGACTAGTTTAAGCAGTCTGTGCATCACTAACTAGCCTGGTTTAGAGAGGTTTAAACTCACAGGAAGCCGCTGAACTCCTGCGAAGCTCTCCTCCAGACGGTCACGTCCTTCTGAAAGAGCCAGAGAAGAAGAGCCGCTGTTAGAACCATTCCGTCTAAACGCACTGAGTCGACTCATTTGAACCGAGCTGACCGATTTCTTCGCGATGCTCCACTGCGACTCACTCAGCGCGTGAAGCGACCCGAGCGCCTGCTGCAGCTCCGCGGGGCTGACGCGTGCAAGCATCTGCAGCACAGCCGTTATTAACATCATACACCAAGTCATTTATGAACACGTACATTATAGCATAAATTATTATTAATGCAATAACCGTCTAGATGAGTGCAAACTACTTTAAATGCACAAGAATTATTCTTAAGCGATTTACACACGATCAGAAAGCATCTAAAATCACAAACAGCTGATCAAAGCGAGAACACATAAGCAATAGTAAATATGATCATGTACCGTGTCGATGCAGGTGATTCTTGTGTTTCATCGCGTGTTGATTTCTCTTTTAAGCGCGATGTCATTACGCTGGAAAGCCAATCAGAAGCGTCGATTCCGCCTTAAATGTATTTGCCCTCATTTGATTGGTCAAGCGCAGCTAGAGTCGCGAGCTGATTGGCTGTTTAACTCGGATGTTATTCGGTTAGTGTCTCAGCGACGGTGCGGTATTCAGACACCAGAGGGCGCAACAGTCACACATCAACCGCTTTAATTCAGCAAACAAGAATAAAATCAGTCATTCAAATAAACACGTTACAATAGAACTAACAGATGAAGCTTCATCCACACAGAAGGCTCATGTCAATATTGCTCTGAATTTGTAAAACTACAAAAGACTGAATCTCAGTGCTGCAGAAGAATCTGAAAAATATGCAGTCGTCTCATATATTCTGGTTGGTGAGGAGTTTCTGCATCCGGCGAATCTTGCGCTTGTTTTTGGGCATGATCTTGTTGTACTGTCCGTTTTTGATGAGATGCTCTTTGCTGTGGTGGATCTGAGCGCCGTGTTGCAGCTGGAAGGAGCACAGGGCCTGAAGAGGTTTGAGAAGAACCTGCGGGAGACAGCAAGGGCTCATCAGCATCAGATCCATCACACGGACTCGTAACCCTGTTCTGAACACCGACCTCCTGAATGCTGTGGTTCTTCTCCATGATGGAGAGCGCAGCGGCTGCACACTCCAGTGTCGACACACACATGTTGGTGGGCTGCGTGCGGATCACGTACTGACTGGAGGGGGCGCTGCGGAGCTGCACCTGCGGAACACCATCAGCACAACACTGCCTAAATATTCCTGTATGACAGATCTCAGAGCTGCTTCAGTGCACGCACCTGTCTGGGCAGCCGCAGCAGTGCGTTCCTCAGGAACATGTCTTTAGCCTGACTCCAGGTGCCGTCGATCAGGATCACGCTGTGGGCCGTCGAGGTGAAATCAGTGCTCAGATCCTCCAGATTCTCTGCAGCGGCTCCGGGATACAGCAGCAGCGTGTGAGCGTCTTTACACACAGCCGCCAGCTCCGGATACCTGACACACACACACACACACACACACACGTGAAGGCCATGGCAACACACGCAGACGCTTCACCACGCGCTCACGCCACTCACCTCTCTTCAGAGAAACGCCTCCCGATGAAAACACGGCACTTTCCCGGCGGGAGACACGCTGCCAGGAGCGGAACCGTGCGCAGAACCCGACTCTCCTGCAGAAAGAAGAAAACTCAGTCATCTGACGGCGGCAGGAACGCAGCACGCAGCTTTGAGATGATCGGATACCAACCTCAGCCGGATGCTGCACGATGTAGAGACACGTGGAGACGTCTAGAGGACACGGCGGGAGATACGGACACAGACACACCTTCAGCGGACGACTGCCGAGACACAAAACACACCGTTCAGCGAGGCATCGGACACACGGAGAAGATCTGATTCTGGATGTGATCAATGTGAATCATTGCAATTTCAACAGTGAATCTCGCATTTAAATGATTAAACTCACTTCAGTTCAATGCAAACACACACCGCAGTGATACTGGTCAAATCTGTTTATGCTGCTGTTATTACAATTTGTCGCTTTCGATTTGTGTGTGTGAGTGTGTGAGTGTGAGCGTGTGTGTGTGAGCATGTGTGTGTGTGTGTGTGTGTGAGAGTGTGAGCGAGCGAGTGTGTGCGTGAGTGAGTGTGAGCGTGTGTGTGAGCGAGCGAGCGAGCGTGTGTGTGTGTGTGTGCGCGCGAGTGAGCGTGTGTGAGCGAGTGAGTGTGTGTGTGTGTGTGTGAGAGTGTGAGCGAGCGAGTGTGTGTGTGTGCGCGCGAGTGAGCGTGTGTGAGCGAGTGAGTGTGTGTGTGCGCGAGTGAGTGTGAGCATGTGTGTGTGTGAGCGAGTGTGTGCGAGTGAGAGTATGCGTGTGCGAGAGTGTGCAAGTGTGTGTGTGTGTGTGTGTGTGAGTGAGTGTGTGAGAGTGAGTGTGAGTATGTGAGGGTGTGTGCATTTGAATGTGAGTGAGTGCGTGTGAGTGTGCGAGTGAGAGTATGCGTGTGAGTGAGTGTGTGCGAGTGTGAGTGTGAGTGTACGTGTGAGTGTGAGCGCGTGTGTGTGCGTGTGAGTGTGTGCGAGTGAGAGTATGCGTGTGTGTGTCTGTGTGAGTGTGAGTGTGA